CCACCAGTTGGAGTAGCATGTAGGAGACAGCCAATCTCTGTCTCTCTCTTTCTCTCTCTCTCTCTTGTCTCCCCCCCCCACCCCTTTCACTCTCTAAAAATCAATGGAAAAAATATCCTCCAGTGAGGATTAACAACAACAAAAAAGAAAGGTTAAGTTTCCACAGTAACATGGAGAACTTTTAATCATCCATTCTCTACCAATCTTAACAACCTCATCTCCCTTAACTCTCCTTCTATCCAAGCTGGCTTACTCACTGAGTTCAGAATATGCTTAATTTATTTTCTTTTCTCAATTACTGCTTAGGCCAGCCTTGGGCAAACTACAGCCCGCGGGCCGGATCCTGCCTGTTTGAAATGAATAAAACTAAAAAAAAGACCGTACCCTTTTATGTAATGATGTTTACTTTGAATTTATATTAGTTCACACAAACACTCCATCCATGCTTTTGTTCCAGCCCTCCGGTCCAGTTTAAGAACCCATTGTGGCCCTCGAGTCAAAAAGTTTGCCCACCCCTGGCTTAGGCCATACCCATCCCTGTTCCTCACACAGCCTAAAGTCAATCTACAAAATAAACATAAGTTCTATCTTGTTGTAATTGGTCAATCTGGCCCTTATCAACGACTCCATTCTTTGAACTTTTCCATCACAGGATCAGATGAACACATTCCCCTACATACTTCCTTTGCCCTCCTATTACATTTATGCAGGTCATAATCCTTAACCATCTGGACCTTTGCACAGAGATTTAACTTTTTACATGAGAATGCCAATTATGTAATTTCCATGAGGGCTAGACTTCATGTAATCAAGAGAAAATAGAGCAACGATATAGCATTTCAGTCTCAGATCTATTTGGTACATGAAGGAATAGATCAAAAAACTGTGAGCAACTGTCTCAGGTTAAACAGAAAGTACATGAGAGGTTTGTAGAGGCTTAAATGCCTGGACTTAATGAGTTTTCTTGTTTTTAGGTTCTCACCTTGACATGCCCTGGCTCTATCAACAGCAAACTATAAAAACTTTCCACTGTTGATTGTGTAAGTCATTTAAGATGCCTCAAATCCTTTGGAAATAAGGCATGATATTATAAAATAAAGGTCAGGAGAATGATCAGAGTCAACTCCCTATACATGGCTACTCTACTGGGATGTAGCATATGAAACAGTAGAATCAAGAGATCTGGGTTAAATTCCTGGCTCTTGAAACTCACTGGCTTTAGAACTTGGGCAAATCCTTAATGTGGAATAATCACTTACCCTTAATGTGGATTATTCACTTACCACTCAGTGTTGCTGAGAAAATTAAATGAATTAATACATATATAAAGTAACTAGCACAGTACCAAAAAGATATTTGCTTAACTATTCAGTATTAAAACATTATGCCAACCATTTATCCCTGCAACTCCTTTTAAGAGAGTAGAGAAAGAGAGATCTTTCCCCACTTTTTAAGGATCAGGAGCAACTTGCTAAGCCCATTGAAACTCAGTCCTGAACAAGGAGTCCTAATCCTAATACCCAATGTACAATAGGTTGTCTTTATGACCAATCTCTACCTGTTTCAGTGGGGAGGTTGTTGGGGGGGGGGGCAGGATTAGATTCTGGTCATACTTCTTAGAGTAACAGAGTCTTTCCAACATTAAGAACTCTCAATTTGATAAAGGAAAAAATAGGAGGTTTAAAGACTTAACTAATCAAGCTGGACTCCCATAGACAGAAAACTGATAGTGTGCCATAAAGCATAAAAGGTGAACTCTTCAAACCCTTGAAGACATTTGAGATCGTGACCACTGCCTTTGACAATTCTTCAAGCACCAACTATTAGTCCAAAATGGCAGGAATCATAAAATAAGATGTGAAATGGACCAAAGAATCCTGAACTCTTGGAAGTGGAAAAATGTGCAAAGTCATCTGACCTAAGCCTCTCCTTACACAGCTGAGGAAGTTGGTATAGGAGAGAAGCCAAACTGCACGCCCCGCTTCTTTCTGCCTCCCCAGACACCTCATTGTTTTAATTTTCCTAAGATTTCATTATTTCCTTTAAAGTAACCAAGATCGGACAGAACAGTGCATCTGCCTTGCAAAATGGGCCCAAAACTGGAAATATCCACAACTTTTGCCCCTGACAGAACACTGGCACCAAAAAAAGCAAAGATATATACGTTCTTGCAGTTACCTGATTAAATTATCAAGTTCCTGCAGAGGAAGTTGTACCCAGACAAAGAGTGACAATACTGTCCACAAACAGAAATGCATACTGAGAACTAGAGGCTTTTCATAGTTCTTCTATAGAAAGAAAGATCCCTATGGGGACTACCAAAATCACTGGAAGTTTCCAGTGGTGATAACTGACTTCTTCCTTGTGTATCTGCATGCTGATACAGTGAAAAAAAAAAGCTGAATTAGACTGTGAGACTTTTTAGGAATACCACATACCAGGTAAGGAACTCTGGGAGGTAATAACAGAAATTTGATACCTTTTCTTATTAACTGAACCACCCAAACTTCCAATGACTGTTTTAATATAAGTTCAATCCAAAATTTGTGATGCTACTCTCTTGTCTATCAACTTATATGAGTATGATATGAACCTACTTAAAGAAGCCACCAGGTGAATAAATACATATATAGTATAGAAATTAAACCACTTTTGGGTGAAATATATTAGCTAGATATAATTCTTCTTCTTAATTAGTCCCTTGAAGTTTGTTCTAACTGCAATGATTCAGAAAAAAGATGTTAACATCTGTAAGATCAACACAAAATTTTAGTGAATGTGAGCTAAACATCAAGCAACACTGTTAGGCAAATACCAAAAAAAGGTAAAGTGATACTATATTGAACTTTAAAAATATTTAGTGACTAGAACATGCAAGATAATATCAGAGTTCTGCTCTCCTTTAATAAGGAGATCCTGAAAAATTGTTGGATGCTACAGTCAAAGGACTATGTCAAAGTACGTTAAATTCCTAAGAGACAAGAATAAAACCTCAAACCACATCACAAGAGATCAAAAGTAGGCTACAGCAGGAAGAGACAAAACAGAAGCAGAACAACTAGATGCCTTTAAATATTTACAGGGCAATCAGAAAAGGAACTACCATTGTTTTAATGGACCCTATGAGAAGATCAAGTATCAATGGATGAAAAATATAAAAACAGCCCTGCCACTTTGGCTCACTTTGTTGAGCGTCCCATGCAACAGGAGGTTGCTGGTTTGATTTCCCAGTCAGGGAACATGCCCAGGATTCACGCTCAGTCCCCAGTAGGGGGGCATGCAGGAGGCAGGTGATAGATATTTCTCTCTCTCTCTCTCCCTCTTCCTTCCTCTCTCTAAAGACAATAGAAACATTATTTTTTTAAAAAAACAAAAACAAAAATCAGAAAGACAGATTTTGGTTTAATAATTTTCTGTTAGCTTTAAAGTCAAGAAATATTGAAGGTGAAAGGAGATATTTACATAAAACAGGAAACTAAGAAACTTGGGCATAAGAGCCTTTGATAAAGGTTTAGGAGCTCATATGGTACATGACACTAAACCATGCAGATTAGCCACGAGTTATATTCTGATAAGTAAAGTCACCTTCCAATTTTTTCTAACAAGAAAGAAGGCAAAGTATGAATGATTCTGAAAGCCATATTTTATGAGGAATAATTTATAAATGGTGGTCAGGCTATTACAAAATTCCATGTGAGAAAAGATTATGGACTGTTCTAGGTAGTGGTGATGGGAACAGAAAAGAGTGGAAGGCTCACAGAAACATTTCAGAGATGGAGCTGCTGGTACTTAATGACTTAATTGGAGACTCTTGGAATAACAGTATTTAGTGGGATTTACTGTGTTAATCTCGCCATTCATCTATTAACAATAACAACAGTAATAGCAGATACTTAGTGCTAACCATGTGGTAGGAAATGTCCTAAAGACATTACATAGTTTAATTCATTTCATTCTCATAACCCTATGAAGTGTATTCTATTAGGCACATTTTACAGAGGAGAAACTAAGGCTTACATCAGTCAAATGGGTCAGAGAATAAATATCAAAGAACTAATAGGATATCAGATGCCAGATTTAGACCTACATAATCCCACAGCTAAAGCTCTGAATCCATACACTAGACAGGTGCAAGGGAAAGGCAACAAAATTTGAGGCAGGCAGCATGCAGTATTGGTAACAGCCCAGAGAGTGAAGAGCATCAGGGGGAAGAGGACTGTTGGTAAATGAAGATTTGGGCGGTATCAGAATCAGGGAACCATTATCCATGTCAAGAAAATGGTTGGCACCCCAGAACCATGATGTGCTTGTTTAAACACACACACACACACACACACACACACACACACACGAACCCAAATGATAAAATACCTGCTTTGAATCCAACTTCCAAGAGAAGGGACCTAATAATTAACTTTTTTTTTTTTTAAGTAAAAACCCTGGTTAATTTTGAGGCAGAACCAGGTTTGGGAACTTTTGTAATAGATCGCTAAGGTCTCTTTCTGCTTTAAAATTCAAGTTGACACCAAGTGACTTTCCCAGAAGCGAAAGGAGGAAGGGAGCGATACTAGCACCAAGAAAACGGCTGTGCATTTTAGTCTACACCGTTTGTACTTCCATGTTTACTAACGTCTCTCATAGGAACAGGTATAGACCAGGCAATGGGAGGAGGGGTGTGTTGTTCACTGTGTGCTGGTTAAAAAGCAGGCTTTCTCCCAGGATTTTCTGGTACCATTAGCAGAAAGAAACCTGTCCTGACTACAATAGGTAATCCAACTCAAAAAAAAAAAAAAAATGAGACGGATTCCTCAGGTCCTTGTCCGGCTAACGATGGATGCCAAAATATTCTTCTACTACATGCTCAAAAGCGTGGCAGGAAACCGCTAGATTGGGGGCTGCCAGCTCTGAGTCCAAAAATATCTGGCTCAGAAGAAGAGGTGTCTGCTTTGCAATCACACTTAAAGGACCCTGCTCCCAAAGATGCCCAATTCCGCACGTACCTGAGGGTCCTCGGGTAAGATTGATCTCTTCCTCAGTGACCAAACAATCCACTCTTCCGTTCATATTTTACTGCCTGTCTGGTTTCCTACCTGGTCAACTAGTACTCGTACAGGTGAAGGTGAATCAATCTCAGCGGGGCGCCTAAACACACCGCACTTTCGGTTTCTGCGGCCCCTGGACCGGAAGCGGAAGCGGGGAGCGCGGGGATTGTAAGGAATGCTGGGAATCGTAGTTCTGGTGGCGGAGGCTTTGCGATCCCTAGGCACGCAAGTGAACCTGGAGCAAGTTACTGTTGCGGGTGGGGGATGGAAGGAAAGCAAAGGTGAGAGACATAAATAAAGTCAGAGTGTGGAGGAAAAATTAAAAGGAAGATATCCTGCAACTTCTAGGAAATCTCCACCAATGGAGCAAAAAAAAAACAACAACAACAAAAAACTCTATTATTCTGTGAGCACCATACCAGACTGAGCTGGGCGTCTCACACAATTCGCTCATATGATTGCAAAGACAGACAGAAACTTCACTCTTTTATGTAGCCAGGCAGATACAGTGCATGACCTGCACGTTTTCACGGAAGAGGACTTAACAGCACCGTTTGCTATACACCCTTTGGTAAGTCCCCTTTTTGGTGGCCATCTGTGTTAGTTAATTGCCATAATCAAGAGTAAAAATTACGGTTGCTTCCCGTCCGCTTGGAGGCTCCGCTTCCCCGCTGGGCTCTCCAGGTCCCTGTCGGGCCGCGGAAGGGGGCGGGGGGGGGGGGCGTCCTCGAGCGGTCCTCCGTGCGTCCGCGTGTCCGCCCGAGCGCGTTCCTGCCTCCGCTGCCCGCGGCTCGGCGCGCACCCCGCGACACCGAGGCCGAGGGGGGCAGGGGGCTGCCAGCCATGACCCCCCTCGGAGCCGGCGTGAGGGGGTCGAGATGCGGTGACCTGCCAGCCCTGCGGTGGCCTCCCTCCTGCAGTTGCCCCCTCTGCCCACGACCCAGGGGGCCCGCCCCTGGCACCACCACCGGCCACCGTGTCGACCTCGTTGCTGCGGCGCCATGTTTAAAACATCGTCCACAACTACTCGGAGGCCGAGCTCAAGGTCCTCGAGGCCACGAGCAACGACCCTGGGGCCCGTCCAGCTCGCTCATGTCTGAGATCGCCGACCTCACCTACAACGCCATCGGAGATCCTGAGCATGATCTGGAAGCGGCTCAGCGACCACGGCAAGAACTGGCGGCACGTCTACAAGGCCATGACGCTGATGGGGCACCCCATCAAGACGGGCTCGGAGCAGTGCCAGGAGAACATGTACGCTGTGCAGACGCTCAAGGACTTGCAGTACGTGGGCCTGGACGGCAAGGACCAGGGCGTCAACGTGCGAGAGAGGAGGCCAAGCAGCTGGTGGCCCTACAGCGCGACGAGGACCGGCTGCAGGAGGAGCGAGCCCACGTGCTCAAGACCAAGGAGAAGCTGGCGCAGACTCTCATGGCCTCCTCAGCAGCAGTGGGTTGGCAGGGAGGGGGGTGGGGGGCGCCCAAGGCCGAGCAGGTGTGGCTGCAGAGCAGCGGGGAGGAGGAGCTGCAGCTGCAGCTGGCCTTGGCCATGTGCAAGGAGGAGGCGGACCAGCCCCCGTCCTGCGGCCTGAGGATGATGTCCAGCTCCAGCTGGCCCTTAGTTTGAGCCCAGAGGAGCACGATAAGGAGGAGCGGATTCACCATGGGGATGACCTGAGGCTGCAGATGGCCATAGAGGAGAGCAAGCGGGAGGCCGGGGGTCAGGAGTCATCCCTCATGGATCTCACTGATGTCTTTACAGCCCCGGCTCTTCTGACGGCCTCGGACCCCTAGGGTGCGGTGGGGGGGGGGGGGCAGCACCCATGGCCACTACCATCCCCACAGCCACCCCTGCCTCAGAGCCTTGGGTGGGACCTCCTGTTCCTCCAGCTGCTGACTCCTGGGGTGGTCCGGCCCCTACCCCGGCCTCTGGGGACCCCTGGAGGCCTGCTGCCCCTGCGGGGGCCCCGGCTGACCCTTAGGGTGGGACCCAGGCCCCTGCAGCTGGAGAGGGGCCCACCCCTGACCCGTGGGGGAGCTCAGACAGTGGGGCCCTGGTCGGTGGACCCCCAGCTGCTGATCCCTGGGATCCAGCCCCAGCCTTCTCAGACCCCTGGGCGGGGGAGGGGCGTTACCTGCCAAGCCCAGCACCAACGGCACTGCAGGAGCTGTGCCCACTGTGGTCCCGGACTCTGCCCACAAGCTGTTCATCGGGGGCTTACCCAACTACCTGAACGATGACCAGGTGAAAGAGCTGCTGACATGGTTCGGGCCTCTCAAGGCCTTCAACCTGGTCAAGGACAGCGCCACCGGGCTCTCCAAGGGCTGCGCCTTCTGTGAGTATGTGGTCATCAACGTCACGGATCAGGCCATGGTGGGGCTGAACGGGATGCAGCTGGGGGACAAGAAACTGCTGGTCCAGAGGGCGGGTGTGGGAGCCAAGAATGCCACGCCGAGCACCATCCACCAGTCCCCCGTGACCCTGCAAGTGCCGGGCCTGCTGAGCTCCCAGGTGCAGGTGGGCGGCCACCGCACGAAGGTCCTGTGCCTCCTGAACACGGTGCTGCCCGAGGAGCTGCTGGACGATGGGGAGTACGAGGAGATCGTGGAGGACGTGCG